ATCATGAATACATGCATAGAGGAAAAACATAGCCTACATGGGGTTCGGTATTAGGTGCCAGCCTACACGGAGAAAGGAAAATACCTGGTTATCGACTTCAGTTACTGGATCAGTTCCCAGCTTTGGCTTGCTAGGGTCAGAGGTCCTTCGACAGGAGAAATACCTAACCCAGAGAGCGAGCTGGAATCCACAAAGGGACGAGGCATAATCTAGCACCAGGACAATTCTCCACCACCACCAAGCTACCATCTCCACCCGGAGACCCTCCATGGGCCTGCGTCTCCCCACGCACGGCTTCTGGACCGTTTGTGGGCTGCTGTGCCTCTCACAAGCTGAGACACACCATTGCTATAAGAACTGGCCAGAGGCCCTGAGATGCTGCCATTCTGTCGGGGTTCTGTCTCCCGAGGGCACAGGCTCGGTGACAGGTTCTCCAGCTTTGGTCTGGTGCAGGAGTGCAGAGGTTCCCGAGGCCCCGTGCTTGTGCGACAGTAAGCCCTGCACAAAGGCGAGGGTCTCGGGCTGGACAGCAAGGAATCCCAGAGAAGCTTGAGAGTCAACAGAGATCCAGTCACTCAGGGGCTGCCCCAGTGCAGTCATCTAAAACACGAGGCTTAGCGCCTGGGGCATCCCCACTCCAGCGCACAGTGAAGGCATCGGAGGAGCTCCAATGTGCTGGACTCCATCCCAGGCCTGGGAAACGAGACTCTCTAAGAACAGAGTCAAGGCAGTCCTCTTGATGAAAAGTCCCAGGAGCTTCTGCCGCACAGCCCGACCTAAGTCCTCCCCTATAGGTAGCTGTCCTTTCTCCCCTCTGCCCGAAGAAGCTGTCGGAGACTCCCAGTATTTGAGAAGTGTTCAGAATCATCCACAAAGACAACCTGAGGCTAAGGACAACTACAGACAATTAAGCTAGGGCTGGGATGGCTCAGTCTGTTAAGTGTTTGCTGTGTTTGGCCCCTAGAACCCACACTTAGAAAAAAAAAAAAAAAAGGCAGAGTGTGGTGGTGCATGCCTGAAATGCCCAGTGCTAGGGCAATGGAGACAGGTGGGTTCCTTGTGCATACCTGGTGAATTCTTCCCAGTCAGTGATTGTCTCAAACACACACACACACACACACACACACACACAGCGGGGGAGGGTTGGGGGAGAAGACAACAAAGCTACCCACCAGGAGAATGGTCCCTTTTCCATATAATCAGGTTGCAGAAGATGGATCTGCCACGCTCTGTTGCTCTGGGTAACTATATAGTGGGTACTCACAAAGCAGGTAACTTCTGTCACTTGAACTGGTAGCTTTGTGGCCTTGAAGAACTCAGTCTCCCTGTGCCTTGGTTGGTCCATTCATGTAAAAGAATATTGATCATGCTTTATAGGACCACGGCGAGGGTTAAGTGAGTTAATATAAAATACCGAGTGCTTGCAGCACACAGTAAGCACTCAATACACGTTCAAATGTATTCATGGGAAGGATGCCAGGGCTAAATCAAGTGTGAAGGTCAAGGGGTAAAGGTCAACCAGTTTCTTACTGCAAGATGTCTTGAAATGACCGTGCTAATGGTACAAGTGGCAGGTGCCAAAAGTATCAAGGGTCACTGAGGCATGTGCTCCATGCAGACAGCGGGCCGGGAATACTCAATACCTCACGGTATTCTCAGCAGGCACTCTATACGCCTGCAAGGCAGGTGTGATGGGCCACCTCTCCCGAGCTGTCCACACTCTTCTCCTGAAAAGCCTGTGACATGATGAGCACTCCAGTAAGCACTCCGGATGACATCCTGGAGAGAGCTACATCTTTCCCAACTCTCACCAAGGACTTGTTCCAGGGTGAGTGCAGGAGAATCTTGTTATGGTATCAGGAATGACATGCTAGGGGAAGAGAGCTACCAGGACTGGGCTGTGTCCTGTGGAAGAAGCTTGATGCTGTCAGTCAACTGGACTCCTGCCTTTCTATTCCCTGGCTGGATGGCCTTGGGCAAGTCACCTGGCCTCTCTGAGTCTGGTCTCCTTACTTACACAATGATGGGGCATTGGCTCTGAACATCAGAGGCTCTGAGGTCCCTCCTGGGACCAGCAGTTTTCGTGAACTTCCAGCAAGGCTGGGAAGGGAATGGGAAGAGGAGGGTGGAAAGGAATAGCTGGATCCAGACTTAGGAGCAGTCTCCAAAGAGGCTCCACACTGCTCACCCCATAAAGAAACAAGGTGAAGTGGTACCAAGCCAGGATGGAAAATGCAAGGAGTTGGGGGAGAAGGGAGGAAAGGAACTCACGTTGCCTTCTGTGTGTCTAAGAGGCCATCAAGCCCTCTAGGCCAAATGGTTCTATCTTTACAGAATTATGGTAATCACATGCTGTAGCTTCCAAACAAATCAAGGCTGGGTGTGGTGGCCCATACCTGCGATCCCAGCACTCAGGAGGCAGAGGCGGGAGGGTCACGAGTTTGAGGCCAGCCTGGATGACAGGGTGAGTTCCAAACCACCGCACACTTGACATTCTGAAGCCCAGGGGGCCTTGCTCCTTCTCCACCCACAGAAATAGCACGCATGCCGAGGACCGGGACCATGCCAGATGCCTGGTCCACCACCCAACACCCCCAATCCGTCCAGCTCTCCTCCTGGGGTTCATACTTCCCTCGAAGCTTAACTGCAATATTCGCTCTCACCAAATTGATGGCAGAGGAACACTTTCTCCCCATTTAACTGACAGTGCCTCCAAGTGACCAGACAGAATGACCTACTTGAGACTTCCCCAGTCTCTGTTGCCTGCTGAGCTCCCAGGCTGTGAACTTCTCCAGAAGAGTGTGCTAAGCCCTGGCCTGGTCCTTTGTCCCATTTCCATTCTTCATTTCCTGCCACCAAGTGTCCCTCTGATAAGAGCCAAAAGGGAGAAGTGTGTCATTTCATCGGCCTAAAGCTACCAAACAAGCCAGTGAGGAGGTTATCTCGGCGTTTTTCTGGCTCAAGGTTTTGTTACTTAGTTCCTAAAGGGGCTGCTGAGGAAGGACCAGCCCGCTGCAGATTGCTGACAGAGTGTCCATAGAGCAGGGCATTGCCAAACGCGGAGTGGCAACTGCTGAAGTTGGGGGGCCCAGCAAAGCCAGCAGCCATTTCAAAGAGTTCTTTGGAGGCACTCACAGGTCAGGGGACGGGAGAGAGGCACATACAAGTTGGACAAAATCAATAATTGCTCTAGATGACATTCTCCGCTGTCAAGGGCAGTGTTCAGATCTCACTGGGTCAGCTGCCCAAGAGATGGGGTGTGCCTGCAGTTCATGCACGGGGCTGAGCCTGCCAGACCTGACTCTGAGAGAGCTGGGGTAAGACTTCACAAGCGTGTGAAGGGTGGGGTTTTGTATACCGAAACGCTATCCAGGTTGTTTGGGGGAGGACTGTTCAGCTGGCAGGAGCAGCTTGCTTTTGCTGGTGGTGATGATATGAGATCAGAAGTACAGAAACCAAAAATGGTACACCGCCCCCTGGGGGTCACCTTGGGTTTAGGGGAAGGAATCGCTGTGAAGCAGGGGTTCCTGTTTTGCATGTGTTATTTTTCTAAACAATACACCAACTAGGCAGCAAGAGTTGATGGACTTTTACAAGGTCACATGATACGGGGGGGGGGGGGGACAGGATCTGACCTCAGAATGGGCATTTCCTGGCTCTTCATTCTTCTCTGTCCTTGGGAGCTGGCTGGGGTCACTGGATTGAGACTGGAAGTGGCAATATGCATTGTAACAACTGTGTCACAGGGTCACGGGGGTGGGAGACCTTCCCCTGAGCCTTCTGTCCCCCAGAGCCACTCCCCTCATCTTGAGAGCTGCGCTATTCAGCCCCTCAGCCCTGCCCATAAAAATCTAGAGGCAAGCTGACCCCCAGTGCCACTAGGACCTAACGGACCCTAGCTCAACCTCTACCAAGTTCACAGGGTTCAAAATAGCCAATATCTCACCGAGAAGGTGCCAGTGGGTGCCTGTGAGTGACACCCTGACTTAGAAGCAGTTCCGAGCTACTTCTATCTGCTGGTTGGCTTTCCCTGTCTAAACTCACCATAGGCAGAGCCCATGCCTTCTTGCAACACACACAGCTTCTGGATTTATGCTTTTCCCAGATGAACCCGCAAGCCAATCATAAACAGGATGGTCAGATCAGGGCAGCTAAGCCCACAGAGAAAGCTAATTAGGGTTTGCTTTCTGATTTCCCATGCTCTAGGAACTATCCAGGGTGTGTGTGTGTGTGTGTGTGTGTGTGTGTGTGTGTGTGTGTGTGTGTGTGTGTGTGTTGAGAGGGAATGGAAGGGAGGCTACAGGATTGATTATGACTTATTAAACTATTGGAACACCGACTGAATCATCACAGTCAAAAAGATAAATAGCTACAACTTGATGACATATCTCCCACTTCTTGCTGGTCCCTCTTTTCTCCCGCAGAGCGCCACAGCCGTGTAGGAGGAGCGCGGTTGGCCTGGGTCAAACTAGCAAGCACTGACTGGCAGGCTAAATTAAAGCTAGGAGAGACTGTATGGCCCCAGGGCCTCCAGCTAGGAAACCTGTCGAGCCCTGCAGAGCCCCTGCTGGTTGCGGGGAACAGAAGCCAGGTGCGGGCACACACACCTGCAGACGCCTGCAGCAGGAAATCTGCTTGCTGTTTTCACCCCTTTTTCCCACTGCCCTGTGCCTGGGACTGGTCCGTGGTAAGGCACGGCTTTGCAAACTTGAGAACACGACTTAAAAGGTCCCGGAGCGAGTCTAGGTCACCCCAGTCCCTGCATCAGCTGTCTGAAATTTGTTGTGTAAAACCGGACTGAGTCTCCGAAATCGGAGAAAAATCAGCGCGGGTCCTCACCGGGAGGAGTCGTAGGAACATTGACACCACTTCACCCAGGTTCGCTGTCCCCTCCTCCCCGGGCGCCCTCGGCCACCCGCAGGATTCTCCACTCTGCTCCTACAGGACTGGGTGGGCGGAGCGAAGCTGCTGTGACGTCAGAGCAGGGGGCGTGGGGAAGTGTGCCCAGGGGCTGCCACCCGCCTGGGCCAATGCTAGCGGTGCAGCCACCGGCGCGCTCGCGAGGCGCCCGGAGCACCAGTCCGCTGCTGGGTGTCGATGATCTGCAGGCCAGGCTAACTCTCTCGGGGCCCAGGCTAGCTCTCTTAGATGCCAGAGGGGCCTGTACGAGCCAGCCAAGGAAGCTGAGAGCCCAGGAGCCAAGCTGCTGCACTCACGGGCGCACGGCTGGGTAAAGGACAGCTTCTGAGTGCTGGAGAACCGAGAGCTCGTGGAAAGCAAGGTGAGGGGTGTGTGTGGTTGCCCGTGTGGGTGCATATGTGTGTGTCACAGAGAGATAGAGGGAGCGACGAGCGCACTTGGGCACCTGCGTGCTTCTGCGCTGGGGATAGAGCGCTGATCCCGACCTGCATGTTGGTCCCTGCGCGCAATTCTCTGCTTTTGTGCCTTTGGAGGTGACAGGTAGAAATGAAGGATGCGTATCCTGGCGTCAGGGGTGGAAAGGTAGTGTGTTCTAGGACGGATCTGTCCGCACAGCCACTGCCCAGGTACGGTGGCGTGTGACCTGCGAGCCCGAGTGTCCAGGTGGTAGCTGGATGGGGACAACTTATTTTCTAGCCACCTGCGAAACAGCCCTGGTCCAAGGAAAGCGAGACCAGCTAGAGGAGAAGGGACATGCCAAGTGCCACCACAGGGCTCCTGAGTCCGCACCCTGAGACTGAGACCCAAATTAGGGAGGGACAGTTGATGGGGAGCATCGCAGAGGGAAGGAAAGTGGGTTTTTCCTTTTTTTTTTTTTTTTTATCGCCCGATGGGGAGGCGGACAGATTCGTATGC